ATAGAAATAATTATTGCGAAACCAACCATAAAATAGAAAAGACTACCAAGATTTTGAATCACATTTTCATTCTAGTAACTTAGTATGATAGGATTATTTTTGTCAAATATAATAAGTTAAGCATTAAAAGATATCCATATCTGAGAATCTATCATTAATTGGCTGTTCATCACTGAATTAGAAAAATTGATCAAAATAGGTGGTTGGTAAAATATCGAATTGAGATATTGATATGATAAGTGAGTAGAGTAACTTAGCATTATCAGGGAAATTGATATTGTATAATGGTAGATGTGCTATGATTTGTAATACATTAATCATTCCCCATAAATACTAAAGTGATGCTGACCTAAAATTTTTTCTTATGAAAACATGTGTTACATAATAATGTTAAGCGCTAAGTTACCAATCATTATTGTTTTAAGTGATGAAGAGGCAGTCTGCAAAATAGATTAGAAATGAGAAGTATCTAATTAATAAAAATGCTTAAATTATACCTTGATTAGCTGCAATAAGTTTTTCTACCAAACTATACTCATTGGGAATGGGCAAATTTGTATTCTTTTCTAAAAATAGCCCATTTTATAAAAAGATTATCTAGACTATATCATTCCCCTATAACTTATCAGATATATGTTGTAATTACTTTTAATGATATTTTTTCGGGTTTTTCAAATGTTAGTTAAATCCACATTTCGGTGCTATTGAAATATGTAACATTCCAATTAAATCCAAGATCTTATACTTTAGAATACTTATAAGGAAGTATTTTTATTCTCAATACTTGGCTATCTAAAGTTGTTAAATTTTAGATTTAATTCCAAAGTAGCTCTGCAGTAAATCTTATCTTAATCAACCCTGTCTGATCAATGGTTTTAATAATAGGGATCAATATAGGTGAAAAACCAGATTTTATAACTTTTAGTTTGTTATTTAAAAATCCATAGGATCCATTACTTGCTTGCTCTTCTGATAAAACAACAACATTTAGGAAATATTTAGTGCTTTTCTTATTTATATTAGAGTCTTCGAGAGTAATCTAAATCATATAGGTTCCATTATTTTTGAAAGTTGGATCAAATTTTAGATTAGGATTAATAAACTTTGTAAACAAACCAGTCTATCCCAAATCCAATCTTATTGTGTATTTTTCGTTATCTGGTTCTATAATATTAGGTAGTGTATACAGAAATTCTTAATTTACCACCATATATATAAACTTTAATTGCTCATCAAAATAGGGAGGGCCTTCATTGGCGATAGAGTATTTCTAAGATATCACATATAAACTGAAATCTTAATCTTCAAAGTAAATATAGCTGTAGATCAATGGTGCTAAAACTAATGCATTGATTCTAATGATATATTTATTGGCAAAATAACCGTTATCAGTGTATATGCTAAATTTTCTTTGACTTTAATCAAACGAAATAAACTAAAATAATTCATTATAACCTAAAACAGAAGCAGAATACTATATATCATGTTAACAATTAGGAACTTTCTAGAATTCATCAAATTATAGCACTACTTAATCACTATTTACCCTATAAAATTAAGTAGGAATGTCTTAATATGTAAGATCTTTGACAATACATCTTACATCAACTTCAAAATCTGAGTGATTTTAAACTGAAGGGTAACTTAATAATTGACCAAATATTCTAATCATGTAAGTACCCTCTTTTGTTACATCATTAGTACTTATAGATAGTTAGTTGTTAGTTATATCATGTGTGAAGATAATTGGAAGACTCATTACAGAATTCGTGGTTTAATTTAGCAATTTAGGAGTCAGCTAGTATTCTCCACATTCGTAGTATGAGTAATATTTTGTCCAAGTTCCTAAAGCAATATCCTACTTTGGTTCTAATAACTTGTAGATAGTGTTAGAATAATTTAAAGGCAAGAATATGCTAGTTAAACAATCATACAAATTGACTTTTAGTATCAAAGAGGCAATTGCTGCTGATGGATCTCCATCTTTGTAATAAGCCAGTAGAGTCAAACTTTTGAATGTGCTTTATGAAGCAGTATTAGTGTTGGAATATATTGTGTATGGAGCTGTAGAGTTATTGTAGCTAAATATTGATGAATCAAAACTACTTTAAGTTGTTGAATCAATAAGGTAAATAACTGTCTCACAAAATTGGTTGCTAAAATTGAAATTTTTGAAGATATATTCCTAAGTTCCATTCTGTTTTTTGTAAAATACTTCATCATTTTATTATTAATTGCTAATTGTAGATGTTAAACAAGGATTTATGATTTTAACCAATACATATTTTGTTGAAAATTAAGCAGGATACTGTTCTAATATTCCAACTATTTAGATAGTATATTCATTTACATCATTTTAGGAGTTAGAATCTATTACAAATTTACTACTACTAGAAGAATATTAAATATAAGTAGGCAATGCTTTATTGAGAAGTTTAAAAGACCCATCTGAATTAGTTTCATTCAACATATGAACTACCTAATATTATTGTGTAAAATTGGCATCAATACACAAAGGATTAGTACTAAAATTTTGAATATCATAATATTAAGGACCAGTATAAAGATTATACTCGATAGTAAAATTTCCAGTTTCAACAATAGAAATTAGGTAATTTGTGCACCAATCATTAAGATTTTAAGTAATATTTTCAAGGGAAGTTATTAAAGAATCACCATTTTAAGTATAAACTTCAAATTCACTTGTACTTATGTCCTAGAAAGTCAATTAAGCTCTAGAAAAGGCTTTTATCTATTCGCCATAGTTTAATTTTAAACAGCTTTGCCCTTGGTAATATGACATTAAAGCTCCTACATATTTTGAATATGATTTAAAGGCTGAGCTTCCATTATTAATAGTCTTAACATTTACAACAATGTAAGAATTAGTAAATGAGTCAAAAACAGCAGCTTTTAATTTATTACCACCTCGACTCATTGCTACGAATTCTATCTCAATTCCTTTTAAAGTTTGAGCAAAGCTAAGCTTAATTATGCAAAATTTAGAAGTATTTGGATAATAAATATAGCCATAAGCGATAGCACTTTAGTATGCATAAATACCTCAGCATTCTAAGACATCTAAATTCGAGCCGAAATTGGTGTGGTCTTATGCCACTTGATAAAATGCATTATTATATATGAGTCTTGAATAGATTAGATTTCTAGGAGAGTTATATTAACTGCACATATAGACAGTGCTTTAATTGCTTGATTTATCAAAACTTGCATCTACATCCATTGGATAAAATACATTGACTCCTGATATATATATGCCTTTGGCAAAATTTACTTTGAAATCAAAAGCAGCATCGAAATTTATAAGATACATCCATCTCTCATCTTATAAATTAGTAAGATATCCAACTGTAAGGATTTAGCTATCTGTATTTGTTCATAATAATTTAAACGAATTTCCATTAGCTGGGTAATTCTGATAAATAAATTTTTTGAATTATGTTGTACTAGTATAGCATTTAACAATACATAACTCGTTGTCAATATTAGCATATGAACTATACACGTTATTTTGATCATCAACAACAATTTAATGTGATTATCTGTCGACTAGACCTGCAAAGATAGTTGATAAAGATAAAAAGTCACCTGTTGACTTAGCAATCATCACTATTGTTACTTCTTCAACCGCATTCATTAAAATCGCTACTTTAGTTTAATCTTAATTAAATGCTAGAGATTCTACAAATTTATAACTCGGTATTGCTTTTTACCAGTTAAATAATCCATCTTAATCCACAAGTGAAACAATAGCTCTAGGATTTATGACATTTGCATTTGAATAATAAATTGAGTCAAATGTCTATCCTCCTATAACTATGTTTCTTTTACTGTCTATAGCTATTGCAGTTAGATTAGTATCCTCTGATAACCCTCCTACCAACTTAGGAAACCTTGCATTAAAACAATACTAAGATTTTGTAATATCCCAGAGAAAGTATATGAATACTTTGAATATAAGGAGTTTTGTTTGCATATTTTTATATATATATATATATTTAA